TGCTCTTGGTAATGCATCCTGTGATTCTATCCGGGCCAGGAGCCTTGCCAGATTTGACTTTAGCTCCGGCCTCTAAAATCTCAGCCGGAGTAACAACGAGGTCCTCCCGCCAAGTAAACGATATCCCGATATCCTGTGGAGTAGGATCCATAGGAAACAAGGCCACGACGATATCCCCCGCAGTCTCAGTGGGAAGCACCTCCACCAAAGAGGCGCCGCCAGAATGTAGCTTTTTTAAGGCTACTCGGTAGAGTATTCCCCAGGGATCCCTATCTAAGTCATCAACTAGCTCGCCCCATAACTTAGCTTTAGAGCGGATTATCGCCTTCCTAAGCCTACGTCTCGCCTCGCGCAGTTCGTCCCAGAGACCCTGAATCTCAGCAGGGAGAGTCTCCCTTCTCGCATGCGCCCGCGTTAGTCTTCTTCTGCACGTATTGCAATTGCGACGGAGCCCAGCAATCTCCTGGTTCCACCAGTAGGTTAATGGTCTTTTGGTAGACTCCTCCTTGGCATAGATGCGTTCGAAATATCGTAGAGAACTTGGTCCATTCGTTCAGCCCAGGAAGTAGCATCCACAAGGCTGCCACTCCAAGCCGAAAGGACAGCCGCAGCCTCCATTAGATCCGGGTCGACCCTGCCAACAACCCACCTAGGAAAGGCTTTAAGGGCCGTTTTCCCTACAGCAGGTCCAGTCAGGAATGCCCCCACCTCTGTGATCACGTATCTGTGATCTGAGAGGGACTCCAGACCAGATTCTACTCTCCAAGAGATGATTCTTCTCGCCGCGGAAGGTGATGCTAGCGTGAGGTCAACACACGAGACATCTCGTGGGTGTACACATGTTGGTCTCGGACCCTCGTTTACTATCTGGAAATTCATGAGCCCCAGTCAATCCATCATAATATCTCCTCTTCTGTTTGGCCTACCAGGGTCCTAGGCGGGAGCACGGGCGTTAAAATCGCCCGTGATTATAACCGGGCAGCCAGTTACCCCCAGCAGTTTATTTTCGAGTTCATAGAGGTCCCGGGAAAATTTTCCGTCACTGAGGCTAGGGGGGAAATAACACGAGACGACAATCATCTCTCCCCAGTCCATCGCCACGAATCTCGTACCTCTCCATCGAGGAGAGCACGGCACCCTCGATTGGCTCCATTGCCATGTGATGGCAGCGGAGGGAGGACTGTCATTAGAAGCCAGCCACCGATCATTATCCGGGACACAATTGGGCTCCGAGATCGCGACAAGCCCCAGACTCAATTTCTCGCTTATCTTGGAGACTAAGTCCTGAGATGGTCGCGACCTATTTACGTTAATTTGGGCTAAACTAGCCATCGCAGATATCCATATTGGACTCCTCACCTATTGAAATCGGAGCTCCCCGATCAGCCCGGCAGATATTCCCACTGTATTAACTCGCGCTTCGCTACTAGTCGGTGTCTGTCCGCGGTCATTAAATGGTATGCATTTCGGCGCTCCAGCGAGATGGCCAGAAACCAGCCCTCTAGATGCACACACTGGGCACTTCAGGGGTAGCCGATATTCAGCGGCCCTATATCCGTTATTCTCCCCATACTGGAAGCACCAAGTGGAGCGGTAACTAGGCTCTGATAATTCACTCTCGTATGCTTCACCGCAAAGCAGCGGAAGCATTGAAGCTTCCGCTTTGCCAGGGGCACTACGCCCGCCGAGGACCAGCCTAGTTTTATTCGCCCAATGCTTAACAGTTTGTTGGCGCACGCGAGGGGATATTGCACCCACACTGTATTCAACCCCCCTCGTCCTGGCCTAAAGGGACCAGTTCTAATGTCCGTGGTGGGGATCTGTTCGCTATCCGCCACAGCCATGGTCACCTCGTCCGCGTTGACAGATTGATCGATGATCGATATCTTTGTATTCACTGTCCGCAAGGACAGCTCTGAGTCGTCCCACGAGCACTTCCGCTTTGGTACCCACCTCGTCGCCTCCTGGGATCTCAATAAGTAGTCCTCCAGCCTGCGCCCTTCGAATGCGGGTATTAGTGATGTTTAATTCTTCAAGGGAGATTTTTCCTCTCGCCAGTCTCGTGACGTCCGCATATGATGGACCAGTTTTGTCCGCAGTCTCCGCGCACTTAAGTAAAACCGTGGCGGTTCTCGGTGCTCGAAGACGAGAGTCCTTTACAGTAAGGCGTCACATCACAGCTCTCGAGCCCTGTGCCGCAGGGCGAGACGCGACGGCGGACGGTAGGCTTCCCGACGCCCTATCACCCGCGGCAAACTTTGACGCACCACCACTTGCAACAGCTCGGCGACCACTGGAGCCCCGCCTCCAACCGGAGGAGGAGGCACAGTAGCCGAACTCGCACCCTTTCCGGCACTCGCACCAACCCCAACCACGGGGGCTATGTTGTTTATACCCTTCCTTTTCTTTTTCGCCGCTCTCTTTCGCGCACGTTTTGATTTTCCCTCCGTCCAAGCCTCCCCGTTCGCGGGATAGCCCGACAGAGGCAGCGAGGGTTCCGGACGTGGTACACCTCCAGGCTCCACACTACCCCCATCATGCACCACTCCGATTCTAAGTTTACCCGCACACGAGTCAGGACGATCGTCTAAGACGAGGCGCGTTGTGTTCGCGACAATGCGACCAGCTCTGGTGGGCAGGCTTATCCTCTAACCTTTTTCGAGTTCCACCCAGAGATGGCCTATATGCAGGGGGAAGCTCGCCTTCTCCCAACACTCGCGTTGCTCTATCCGTGTCGGAAGCCCGACGTCGCGAAGAGCGTTCTTTTCGAAACCGAGAGAGGGACGAAACGGGGGAGCCACGTATAGGAACCTCCTCATCAGAAGGGGGAATATGATGCCTACCACGATCTCCCCTCGCATCACCATCCCTCATGTCCTGCACCGTCCGTCGTAGAGATTCGACCTGGTCCTTTAAAGACATCCTTTCACGTCTGAGGACGTCCATTTCCCGATGGAGCTTAATAATCTCCCTTTCCAGGGCAAGATTATTTGCCTTCACTTCATCAGTCGGTTCCGTACACTTGAGAATGTACTCCACTAAGCGTTGTACCGCGATCTTGGCCACGTTTACCCCCACTTTAATTTGTCTCCAAAGGTCACTCTTCATCGTCTGCGTCCATCTCTCGGCCTCCCTGGCAATGTCGAGGACCCGCAGCGTCTCTGCCACCACCGACTTTGGTGACATTTGTGGGAAGAGGCCCGTGACTTCTTCTATCGCATCTTTCTAGCACGAAGAGAACCTGTCATCCAACTTGCACTCCACTAGTCCCCTCCTTTTCTTGAGTCCGTGACCACCCCTCTTGACGATCTTAAAGAAATCTTCCCTGTCTAGATCGTCGTCCTCACAGTCCATGCTCTTGGACGAGAGCTTCGACATGACGCGTGATCCAGGGCAGTTAGTGCCCTTAGGCTTACGCCCCTCTTCTTCCCCTTCTCCGGTACCTGCTCAAAAGAGGACGTCAAATCACCTGAGTCCTCCGCCGGGGTTGACTTCAACGAGTCACTTCCCACGTGTGAATCCTCGCAGTCCACCTCCATGCCCTCTCCCCTAGAGGCATGTGAAATGAGGTCCACCACGCTCAGGTCCTTAACAGAATTACCCGGAACTGGCGTTCCTGCCGAGTCACTCTCTGCGACCGGAGAGTTCACAATCTCCCCAGCCACTACTCTAATGCGCATTTCCTTGGGATACCTCCTTGGCCGTCCCCTTCTCTTTGGCTGCGGCTCGCTTCTCATGGGGGCAAACTCATGCCCAACCGAGCCCTCAGTTGAGATGCTCGCGGCCGAGCCAGCCGCAATCCTACGCTCCAAACACAAACGGAGCTTTCTTCTTCTGATGCGTCGCTGCACCAGACTCCACCGCTGTCGTTGACATAGAGGGCACGTCCCCTCCATCCACGCCATCAATTTAACATAAATATTTCCATTAAGTATAATGAAAGCATATTTTTTTTTCAGTTCTACAGCGCAGCTTTGTCCGTCCTGATGATTTTAGTATCGGTATATAATAGACCTCTCTAATGCATGAGAAAAATGGTTTCGAAATCATAACCAAGTAATAATTAAATGTACTTTGATTAAACCAAACATTTCTGATTGTTATGACAAGATTCGAGATTTTACAGCTATATTGTTTGGTAGACTATATTATCTTATAAAAATTGTAGCATGTATTATAAACATTTATTTAATATTTTTCAGCTGGGTTTGACAGACATAAAATACTTTTATACGTAACAATACCAGAATTCTGATGAACGTTAATCTCAGCGCACTCTGACAGTTTAATTATTTTATTAACGTTTTATTAAATAAATATGGTCATAATATGTGCCTAAATTACTTCATTAATAATAGTAATTGAATATAAAATACACAGGTATGTAAATAAAGTACATAATCCATCATATATATGCTTTTTAATAAAACATATATGTATTTTGTATGTAATAAAAATAGAATTCTAATATATCATTTTTAAATTTCTGGTTTTATTTTTAATCTATTTAATCAATTTCTAGGAAAAATGTTGGTAATTATGTACTTTAATGGACACCGCGTCGATGACCTTGATCTTGACATATGTTGTTAAGGTCATGACTTTGAGTGACCTCCAACAGGTTTTAGATGGTGATTGTCCTTCATTAAAAAGTTATTAACAAAAGAAGTTTGGTCTCTTTTTGATGTCTCTTTTTTACTATATGAAACAGAAATTTTCTGCTTTAAAATATATTTTACTTCCCACGCAATTTTCCACGCGAAGTGACTTTCACTCTACCTCGACATATGTTATCACAATTCTGAGTGACCTTCAGCAGATTTTAGGTGGCCGAACCTACTTTCCCCTCTTTTATATAGTAGAAAAGAGATATCATTTTTCAAACTTTTAACAAAGGACAGCAGCCATCAAAAACGTATTCGAGGTCACTCAAGGTCATGCCTTTGACATCATATGTCAAGGTCAAGATCGTCGGCGCAGTGTCTCTTAAAATGCATAATTACTAAAATGTTTTATACGTAATTATATAAAATTATAAAATATAAATATTTTTTCGTACGAAATACAAGAGATCCGGATTCGACTCTTAGTCGAGGTACAGGGAGAGTTGTGTCGGTTGTAACAGAAAAAAGTATTTTGCGGCTAACTAATTTATTATAAATGAGAAGAAATATAAATTTTACATGAAAACAAAGGCCTCCTTTGGTTAATTTTAACATAATATATTTGAAAAAATAACAAATTATAAAAAATATTTACCATTAATGGCATCGCCGCAACTTGTTACTATTGACACCGCAGTGATGATCAATTATACCACCTCAAAATGTCGAATATAACACCTAATAACCGTGAATTTATCAATATGAAAATCAATACTATGCTAATAAGCATTAAGCAACATGGAAAAAATACAAAAAAATAATAACTGAAATCTCAAACATTATAAGTAAAAGTATTAACTGTTGTGTGTTAATGATCAAATATTCGTTTGAACAATTAAAGTAAATGAAAAATCGGTCGTTATCTGCACAGGTTGAATGTGCAGAAGACACCCTTCACCTTCAATTTCAATGAAATTGTGCTCATTCGACGCCGAAATATTAATCGTTTAAATTTTCTTTTTCTAATCATTAAGGCTCTTGAATACTCAGCTAAGAACTCTGCGTTGACGGTGGCGACACAGAATGAGACGGCGGTCTGGCGAAATCAGTAGCCACACACTTAAGCACGCCTGCGAGCACACGGACATGTGATCATGCTTGTATGTGTGTTACAACGCCACACCACGATAAATGACCGAACTTATAGGCGTGGAAAAGTGACATTTTGACCAGTTTTGACGACGAAATTTGTGCATAATGCCATTTCGTTATTATTTGCTTAATTGTGAAAATGTAACTTGTTTCGTACTTCTCAAAGTCGTAATTTTCGATGACAACTAAAGTTATCTTGGAATTTTGTAAAAGTGTATATTTAACTCGTTTCAACAGTTGTAAAACCGTGTTTCTGCCAGAATATAGGCTCACTTTACGAATCTTTTACTGACTATCAAGGGAGAAAAGGACAGTTGTCATCGATTTTTACAAGTGTTTTAAAGCGATCTCGTTATTTCGTTTCATCCAAATTGTCTTTGTTTACAAATGGCATTGTGCGTAAATTTACGTGTCATTCCTCGCTTCTTACGTCACGATTCCAACATGGCCGCCGCAACTAGTCAGAAGCTTTAAAGTTAACTATCGTTAAGTTAGGAAATCTGTCGTATCGATGGCATAGAAGGTTACACAAATTCTCTGCTTTAAAAATACAAATTATTTTCTATATAATTTTCT